GGAGCCGGGCCGAGTGCGGCGGTGCTCGGGGCGGCGGCGCCTCGCCGGTGCTCCCGGTTATTTCAAACAAAAAGTTGTTCTGGGATGCGGTTTCACGCCAAGCAAATAGATAGACCTCCCTGGCTACAGCCGAGTCGCTGCGAATTTGCTCTCTGCGACAAAACCGGCTCCATTTTCACTTTTCTCATGCAGGGCAGCCTGCGATCTTTAGTTAGTCATTTATTACTGTAGCTCTTGGGCCACTATTAAGGCCCCGCTTGTGGTAGGTGAGTTACAGAGATACGTTAAAAAGTTTTAACCGCGTTCAGGCTCTGTGATAGGTAGGGCTTCTCTGCAGTTGTGGTCCTGTTCATTAGTTTAGCTTAAGCTGTGCTTTCCTGGAATATCCATGCAGTTCCAGCTCCTGCCTTTCTCAGTCTGCCAGTTTTATGCTTCACGTGAAGCTAAGAGTCTGTACTTAGAAGATGAAGCCCAAAGAAGGCAGTCGGAGAGGAAGAAAAAAAGCACTTCCCAATTCAATTAAACCAACAGTCCTCACATTAAAAAATATTTTTGTCGCTATGGCTACTGAACACTTTAAACAGAGTGCTATTAGAATCACAAACAGGATTGAAATTAAATTTGTATGACTTGTCATCATAGTGAAATTAAATAGATTTTGAAAAGTGTGGTTGTAGGAAAATACGCAGCTAAAATGCCTTTTATCACCGAGTACTGAATGATTGAGGTGATCAAGAATTCTGATCTATCCTTTTTCATTTAGGTCTCTAAGCAGGTAAAGTATTGGTAATAACATCAGGTATATTTCTCTCTACAGAAACGACAAGAAATTATTCGAGCAGTTATTCTTGTATATTTGAACTTTGTATATTTGTAAATAAAGTCCAGTGCTGCAGTGACATTTCTTTGAAGTTACTGTACTGCACTTTAGAACTGATAACCCAGTTATGATGAAAACTTTAGTCTATTCCCTTTTAGAAACATGAAGATAGCTTAAGATACAGGGCAGAGGCAGTACTAAAATGTCTTACCCCATACTTCTTGTGTAACTTTTCAGCTACAGGTCACTCTCTGTTTTCAATGTGTCGCTTGTATATAGTTAGATTGGGTGAACTCCTTACCATGCCTCAGGGAGCACTGCTGTATTGAAATCAGTGGCATTTCCTCTTTGCACCAGCAAAGAATTTAGCTCTCTCATATTCCTTTAAGGAAAACACTGTTTGTAAAACCAGCCAGTGTGTGAATATAGTTTCAGCCATTTAATAGGAAGACTGCTTGTTCTTTTGAGCTGTCAGAGGTTTAATGACTGACTGAAATATAAAATAAATAATACACACTAGACCATGGAACTTCTTTGTTCAGAGTGTGCTCTTGCAACGTAGAAATTTGCATTTTGATTAATAACTTCATTTTTAGTGTAATGTGGATAACCGTTTGTAGTTCTTAAATGCGCACAGTTTCTATCATGATAGATAGAATGGCTTCTCTCATGCTCTGAGGGACTTCGGTGTTTCAGTACAACTTTAGCTCTTTGACAGCTTTATATTCACTTAAAATATTGCTACATGGTTGGAGTAGTGTTTGCTGTAAAAGGACCTTTAGCATCATTTTTCACCTTTGTGGTACATGAGAAGTGCAGAACTCTGCTTAACTGTGAGGCTTCACAAGCATAATAACACTTTCAGTTTATAATTTCTTTTCCATAAACTGAAATGTTAGTCCATTTTCTGCTGTCTTCATAGGTGAAAGCCATGTATCAGTCTGAAATGTCCACAATGACATGAAAGTATATTCTTACTGAAATCTTGGCACCTTTACTTGAAAGGTAAAATGCAGGTGATACACTGCAGACTTGTTTTGTGTTACCTCCTAGAATTTACTGCCAATTAGCAACAGCATTTGTTATAGAGCTTTTGTAGAGTGCCATGATATCCATGCATAATTTAAACAAGCATCAAACTTCGGCATAAATGAAAAGAAGAAAATTCTTACATCATTCAGGGAAAACAAACAGACAGATTTTTCCATTTTAACAACTGCGATGTCAAAATAGATGAGTTGTTGAGGCAACACATGTCTCCCTCTAATAGATGAGATGGAGTTAAAATACCTGCAAATTACCGCCGTGGGTATGCTGAAAAGACAGGCTGCAAGGCTGTCATTCCCAGAAGTACAACTTCTTATGGTGATATTTTTGGGAAATGAAGGTAAAAGTGTCAGTGCCCAGAGAGAGATGTAGAGATATAGATGAAATACTAAACGTGCTCTTCGGTTTTGTCATGGCACAATTTTTTTCCCCCCCCTCCCCTCCTAAAACAGAATGAAATAGATGAGCATAAACTTTTTCTTTTTTGGTAACAGTTTAGTCTTTGGGGAGCAGATTTCAACTTCCTTTTTCTTTATGGTACAGCAAGCCAATTCAGATTTGATAGTAAGGCGTGGGTTATAAATATCCCTGCTATTGGTAGCTTGATGTATTTTTAGTATGAAATATTGACTGTGTAATGTTTGCCCAGTTGTTACGTGTATGTGGGTGTACACATCTATCCGTGTGGATATGGAAGATACAGAGTGTGTCAGTTTTTATTAGCCTGTTGAAGAGACTGCTTCAATTGCCAAACACATAACAAATATTAAAGGAATACAGATAGGATCTTTAAGAAGTGAAAGCCAATACTTCTTTATTTGGAGTGCCAGGACATATACAGTATTCCCCTAAGCGTGCATTTACATGTGTGTTTGTGCTTATTAAAATTGCTAATTGCAGAAGCAAGTTCATCATTCTTGCTTCATTAATAACAGGCCAGTACTGTTTCCATGCTTGCTTGAAGCCCCTGTTGATGTCTGGAGCTATTTTGAGTGTGCCCAGAATGAAGAATCAGGCCCACCAGTAATACTTTGCATATAAATTAAGATGCCTTGTTCCTTTTAACAGGCGAATTCAACTTTGTTGCTCTAGGGTAAATCCACTGATAATAGTGGAACTTTGTTGAGTTAATGCTGGAATACCCGAGAACACCATTTTCCTTATATTTAGCAATGTTGTGATTTTTACTAAACCATATTTTATGATGAGGCATGAAAAACATAATATTCTGAATTCCTTAAATAGTTATTAGCCTATTAAAACTTTTATTTTTTTTAGTTGGAAGACCAATGGTAAAAGCTGCAGTATTGTATAAATTTTCAAGTTTTTAAAAGATTAGCCTTATGAAATAGGTGATAAGTTCAATAGGAAGCACATATCTAGTTCTATCAGGCCTGGAAGCCTTCTACTAAGATAAAAGTATTGTAACACTTCCAAAAGTTAATTTCTTCATTGATTTTATAAAATATTGCTATAAAGTATTCAAAAAATCTCCAAAAGCTGTTAGGAAAAAAAAAAAAGGTGTATATTTTGTCTCCTTAAAGGTTAACTTTTTTTTTCTTTCCTTCCTCCTTCCTCAGCATTACAGAAAATCATATTGCAGAATAACGCTTATAGAGGGATGTGTAATGGGTGCCATCATTTTCCTCGTATCAAATATATCTAGCCTTCTTCCCACAGAAGAAAAAGAGATTATTAGTCAACCTCTAAAATTCTGATAAATGTTTACCTGGTATCTGAAATTACTTGGGTATTACCACTGCTGGAACTAAGGAACAAATGATACATGAATCAACAGTGCTCCTCAAACTACTGAAACAACCTACATACATGCTACTTTTATAATTGAATATTTGGCTCGTAGTTACTCTCTCATCATAAGGATGTTTTCTCATCCTGCGTGCTTCCAGAAAACACTCCCATCTATCCCGTATTTATATTTTAACTTCTTCCTTTGAAGAGATTGTCACATATGTTTTTTTTTTCTCCAAATACATAAATGTAAGCCTCTACCTACAAAGGTCCCTCTACTTTATCTGGATTAAAATCTGTTTAGTTCCACAGAAAACAGTTACACAATAAAAATTGCCAAAATAAGGCCTTCCCATTCTGTATAAAGACATAATAAATGCCTTTTTCCTCCTGAGAGGTCTTTTTGTAATTTGACCCATTAACTGAGAGCATTGATTTGTCCTCCATAAAATTCATTAGAAAAGAAAAGCATGTGTAGGAAAAAAGAAAAACGGCTCTGTAGATGTTTAATCAGTTGCTTATGTTTGTAATTTTGCAAAGCCCACAGAATGTTTTTCATTGGACTTCTCCAGTAACAATAGCGCTGTAGTGCAGTGTGACTCAGAGACCTACATTCAACCAAGACACAAATAGTCAGGAGTGGAAAATAATGACCCTCCTGAGTATGCTCCGTGAAGATAAGTTCTACTGTCCACTCAAAGGCAAAGTCTGCGGGCAGTGAGATCTCTGCAGGTCATTAAATCCTATTTTGCTTTTAACTGAAGACTATGCTTATTTGTTTTAGTCTTTTCATGTATTGATGAACAAACCTAATGATAGAGTGTGAGTTTTGATAGTAAGCAAGGGATTATTTATTTAGTGTCGGTGTGGTGTCTGCAAATCTGTTGAGAGTTTGTAGGCTTGGTGTTGATTGCCTTACAATATGAGTGGTAAGAATTAACATCAAGAAGGACCACACCGATAAAGTAGTATTATACTTTAATGTTTTTCTTTTTTCTAAACAAAAGTAGTCAAAGATCATCTTACTCTGTATGTCTGTGAACTACCTGCTGCATGCAATTAGTAATGTTTTCTACTTTGTTTCTTTTTGTTTGCATTTCTTCCAGGTTTCTAGGTGTTACACAGTTTTCTCCAACTCATGCCAGAAAAGCCTTTCCGTGCTTTGACGAGCCCATCTACAAGGCCACTTTCAAAATCAGCATCAGGCATCAAGCAACCTACCTGTCTTTGTCCAACATGCCAGTGGAAACTTCTGTTTTTGAAGAGGACGGATGGGTTACAGATCACTTCTCACAGACCCCTCTCATGTCCACATATTACCTAGCCTGGGCTGTGTGCAATTTTACATACCGGGAAACTGTCACCAAGAGTGGAGTTGTTGTAAGTATTTTTAATGTTGGACTAAAAGCATTTTGTTGTTTTGAAAACCCTTGCTTTATTTATTTATTTTTTTAGTATTTCTAAATTTTGCAAGTGTTTACTGTTTGATAGTTTGTAAGGGTTTGCCTCCTTTCTTCAGCCCCTTCCTAGGCTTCCTATGTTAGACCTCCTATCAGTTTCCCATAGACTTTGGTGTTCAAAGACAGAGTTCTGGAGCCTTTGTTTCTAAATGGGAAATGGATCCAGGAGTTATGCCATGAAGAAAGAGAAAATCCTTTTTTTATGTCACTTTTGCTTTTGTTTACAAATATCAAACACAGAACTGTATAACAAGCCAAAATATACATGAGAAATGCTGTCAGCTTTCACAGTGCTGTCATCTTACTGTCATCTTGATTTTTTTCAGGTGAACGTACAGAGAAACCCTTCCTTCTTATTTGCTCTGAACAACGAAACAGAGCTAGTTTTGGAAACAGAGACTGGGTTGGAGTTTTAGCTGTGTGTCCAGACAGAGGCTTCTGCAAAGTCTCTGTGACATTAAGCTGTGGCCTGGGAACATGAGGAGGGACTGCAGGCCTCACTTGCATGGCCGATCAAAACAGGAAATAAGTCTCCATGATCACTTCAAGCTAGTCTAAGCACCAAGCGGCTCCAAAGGGAGGATATCCCACCTTGCTTGAGCCAAGTGGTTTAGTTTCCTCCTTTGAGCCAGTGCTCAGCCCACAGGATTGGGCTGAAGATTAACCTGATTAAAAAAAAAAATGAAAAGTTGAAAGTTCTCAGCAAACTCAGTTCCACGATCCATCTCATGGTGTGACTGCCTGAACAGTGTCATGGATCGAGGGCTGCACTGCAAGGATCCTGGAAGTGTCAGTGCAGATAAGTAGAGAGGGAGAATCATGGAGCTGTTTGCCTAGTCTTTGTTTCATGGCTTGCAGACTGATTATCTTGACAAGTAGGATTGCACTTGGGATAAGAACTGGTCACCTCGGGTTGTTTCACTTTAGCCCAGTTGGGTGGTTACTGGAAACGGAGATGTGTTCACTGGCTGAAGCAAAACAAGCCTTCTCGGTCAGTACTTCTACTTAAACAAGTCCTTAAACAACTTTTATCCAGGTAGCACTTGAGGATGTTTGTTACAGTGAATGGCAGCTGCTGAAGGATTAGTCTAAAGCTGAGAAATAAGCTGTATTTTTCTGCTCCAGAAAACACTGGTTCCTCAAAGTTCTCTTTGAGCTCTAATAAGATGAAAGTTTTAGTGTGTGCTCTAGTAGGTCTCATGTTCCATGTGGTGTAACGCAGTGCAATGCTTGCAAGTTAGTCATTCATAGTGCTACAATATTATCTCATTTTGAAACATCTTAGGTTCATATTTAAAAAAAAAAAAAGAAAGAAAAGAAAAACAGCTGCAAGCGATTCAGCTTCCAGTATCAGTGTAATCAAATATATGCAACACAGAGGACAGACCTCAAGACCATCACTTTGAAAAATACAGGCTATTAGCTCAAGGAGAGAATCTCATTTTCTTACAGTGGTATTTAGAGCTCATATCCTGAAGGCTTTTGCTGCTTGTATGTTTGATACTCTGAAAGCAGGAGGCTGCTTTTGTCTTGGAGACAATACTTATTACTTTCTGTCATTTCTCATATTACGCAAAACTGTTCTCAAGGCTTAAGGTTTAACAGAAATCTAAACAGAACATCCAGCTATTAATTTGTAAGGAATTTGTGTCAACTGGGACCTTTAGTCATAAAAGGAGATGCAGCTCAAGTCTGTTGGTTCAGCAAATATAGGACATGTATACGCACACTTTAGCAGCTTGAGTGATACAAAATTTACCTACTAGTTTGCACAATTGTTGGCAGAATCTACAAAGAGCTGAAGACCGAAAGCCTACATAGATTAAGATAGTCTCTTATTCCTAAAGATTATTCTATCAGTTGAGAGTTTTCTCTCTTGTTCATTAGTAGTTTGGCCTCTATCACAGCCTAGGAAGATTACAATGTAAGTTGATTAAATTTATTTTCCTGCTTTTTTTTTTAGTTCATTTGTAACCTGATCATCTTCAAAAGTTGTTCAGATTTGCAGAAAATGTGTCTTTTGTAGTATGAATTATAGCGAACACTCTAGGTTAGAGCTGTGTTCATTCAGGCAAGTTGCTGAGATTAGGCTGCCATCTATTATAATTTCTGTATTGTGGTTCCGGAACTTCCTGGGTGTTATGTAGGTGAATTTCAACTTCATTTCCTCTGAATCCTGACACATGCAATTCTAAACTTTTTGTTTTCCTCTGAAGTTGTTTTGTCACTAAAACTTGGTTATTCCAGTGTCCCTGGCAAGTGAACACAAATGTGTGGTTAAAGTAAATTTATTTTTAAAGATAAGTGAATGTTAAGGAGAATTTACCTAACCCTGGGGTTGAAACATTTTGATGATCAGTTTCATACATTGAGAAATCTTCTTTAAGTTAAGGTGGTGTATATTGTATTTCTTCTGTAAGCAGTTAAAAGACTTTAGCTTGCTTATACTGTAGCTTTTGGTACTTTTGGGAACTTGGTTTTAATTCACTTTCAGATTTTGACAGAACATAATACTTGAAATCTCACTCTCTTCCAGCTGGTCAGTTAAACTGCTATAGTCAAGGGTAGTTAAACTCCTTGAGGAATAAAAGAAAAGTGAGTTTAAAGCAGCTTTCTTCCTCAAAAGTGGTTATGTGTTAACTATTCAGTTTTCTTTCAAAGAGTGACATTGACCTCAAAATTATTTTTAACCTAAGTGTGAGATTGAAATACAAATCAAGTTCTAAAAAGAAGCTGACTTTTGTAAAGCTTAGGTAACCAGTAAAACTAGTAATACATTATCCTTGCACACATGAAGATACAGTGTGTTTTATAGATAAAGTTAATCTGGAAAGGGGAATTAAGACAAGCAGTGCTTTCTAAGAGCACAGCTGAGTGCATATGAACCGTTAGCATTACTCTGCAGTCTGTATGGGACTGAACAGAATCTCTTCCAGAGTGAGTAATTCAAAAGCAACGTTACCTTTTTATATGCATTACAGAGGTATAATATGTTGCTCATATTCATCTGTGGTTGCAGGGAGCAATTCAGAAACCCCTGGGACTGTCTTTCAGTGAGGGCTTGATAACTGTGTAAAGAAAGGGCCGTAGCACAGATCATGAGAGCAGAGTGTAATTCTACGAGGGTTCTTGTTAGGGCGATACGTTACACCAAGGCAGTAAGAATGCCCTTATGACTAAGTTTAGCTAATCTCTGGCTCTGTGCTGCACTGCGGATGTGCCAGCTGTAGTCAGTGAAAATCATGGGATATGTGGACTGTCACCTCTGCACAGTACAGTAATCCAGAAACCCCACTTAACCTTCACATGCTGCCTGCTTTTCCTCTTGCCTTGCGCTCTCTAATCATATCTTATATGAATGTTCTCTGTCAATTATTCTTAAAAGCAAAATGTTGCTGACTATATTACAATGTCTGCCAATTCATCTCTTTATTCGTTATTATTTGTCCTCTCAACCTTTTTCCTTCTGTTGTTACTGTGGTTTTTCCCTGTGTTCTGGCTTTATTTTTAGTCTGCTTGATGTTTAGCTATGCTCCTACTCTCCAGACCTTCTGCTTCTTGTTATTGCTTAGTCAGATGGGTATGGAAAATCACAACCTCCTGCATCTCTTCGCACTGTCTCTGGTTATTTGTCTTCCTTGCTTTTTATTCTGCTAATTCTCCTTCAGTAAGTGGAAGCAGCAAGCATTCAGCGACAAAGCAGAGGATATCAGTAGACGTGGATGTATGATAGGAAAGAAACTTTTCAGGGAGTTTTTCCTTCTACCACCTTTCTTTTTTGCTGTGGATAGGCTGTGGAGATAAGTATGGAAATGAGCTGACAAGTTGCAGATTTAAAGGGACAGGCTTTTCTCAGGGGGTGATATCTGCTCTTTTAAAAGAAGGAATTGTGAATAGAAAGGAACAGAGTCAGGAGGAATTCTGGGCGGAGGGGTTAGAACAGCAAGTGCAGGCAGCACTGAAGCAAGTCAGAATGAGTAGCAGTAAAAGGAAGTGACTCTGCCTGGACGATGATGAATGGGAGGAAGAATATTGATGGAAGTGAGTACTGAAATGAAGAATTGTGTGTGGCTTCATTTTTGCTTCTTCCACTGCTATTCCAAAATTTTTGAACCCTGTGTTGCATGGCTGGCAGTGTGTGGGCCTGGTCACAGAGCTTGGTCAGCTGCACAAGGTGGCATAGCCACAGGGTTTCTGCATTCATGCTGTGGCACTTTGAGGACAGCCTATCACTTTAGGATAGGTCTGGGTTTTAGCTTTAGTCATACATTACTGTGGAGTCATCAGTGATGAGTAATTTGTCACAGTGCAGATAAAGACCTTGAGGCTAAGACGACCTTACGAGATGAGGCATAACAAAATAAGGCCAAACTTTATTGCACTGCTGTATTTTATTATTAGTGTTATCTGTAACATAATTAGAGATCATGAACTCCTAGTTAGTAAAGATCTTATTTCAATACTTTCTTACAGTTAACTTTTATCCTCGCTAATGAGGAGGGGCTGTGGTAATCTGGATAAAGAAAAATAAGGGAATTACTGTTCCATAGCGCTAACTGGCTTGCAAAAACCATGTGTAACTTTCCCTGTGCCGAATTCCCTTCAGCTGGTGTTTCAGGGGTGCTCACTTAGGCTGGCTTGGCATCACCTGGTTCTATACATGTGGAAAATCCTTTTTGCCTTAAAGGGCAAACAGAGTCATAAAAGCAGACTTAGGTCAGAATCATCCCATGTCAAACAGCTCTTACTAGTTTAAATTCAGCAGCACAGTGTGAACCTGGTTTTATACTTGTTCCTAAAGATGACTGGAAATAGTGTAGCCATTCATGGGACACTGAAGAGAGGAGGAGGCACTTTCCTGAAGCTTGGGTGATGCGCTTTCCTGAAGCTTGGGTGGGCAGCCTAAGGACACTGGAGAGG